TGGATAGGAATGAGTTGCGCGCGCATTTTCTCTGAATGTTACAATCACGGCATGTATAGTTCAGGAACTTTCCAATATTGCATCGTAACATCGTCAATGAAAAGAAAAAAGCAATGTTATACCAGTAACACTTTTACTCATATTAGCTGCCGTGAGACAATTAAAGTACATTTTATTTCTTTAGAATTACAAGAATTTATGTAAAACCGAATTGTTTCGATTTGCTGAGAATGAGGAATTTCGATAAGACAGTCGGCTTTCGATGGTTGCTTGATTTTGTTTAGTTCATTACATTCACTTACATGTTAATACCCTTGGGAATGGTATAAATCCATCTCTTTTCTTTTCAGCTATGGGTGGATAGCAGAGCAGACTGGGCCCTTTAGCTTTTAGTGGTGACTAGTTTAGAAGGAAAACTCTGAATTCAAACCTGACTGAAGAGTCAGACTATCTTTCCCAAGAAACATTATTTTTACTAATGGGATAAGGGACTTGTGATCGTGAAAACTAGTGACTTTTAAGTACGTCAAAAACAAGCTAGTGGCGTGGAGATGGGGGCAGTGCGTGTGACGGTTCTGGGTATCCATATCTGGAGGGCATCCGTGTTTTGATAAGCTAGACCGGAGTAGTCCCCCACCCTTATGGAAACTTAGGGGCATACAATCAAGGTGTTGGCCTCGGGCATCAACAAACGGTACTTGGGGTATCATCGGTTTTTCTAGTTACGAGTCCTTTTTTAAAGCTGATCGTTTTGTGTTCATTTTGTTTAGTTCTTTTTTCGTAACAGATTTAATGTTTAGTATAGAGCTTAGAAAAAATTCGCAGTGTGAGATAGGCAAGATGTAAGGCATGTAGCAACATCAGCACATCAAAGGGCACTCCTTTAAAGGCAAGGAAGGGCAAGAATATTTTAAGTCAAGTGATAGCGATTGCTGTATGAGTCTTACGATTTTTGAATAAAGCACGGGCGACGCCGGTCCATGCTGCTAGTATATATATATATATTAATTATATATTATATTAATTAATATTATACTTAAAATACTTATTATTATACTTTTATATTATATAATAATCATAATATTTATTTTGAGGAATTTTAGTTATTTCTTAGTTTTTAAACGAATTCTTTTCGGTAAGGATAATTTTTTTTTTTAAATTATTTAAAAATTATTTACACGTTTTTTTTGATTTTTTTAAAACCAATACTTAACATCTAAATAGTTTGATTAATTTATTTTTAAGCGATTTTAGTCAAATGTTTTCTCTTAGTTTTAAAGTTGTAAATAGTCTGTCTTTTTAACCACGCTATTGTAAACGTTTTATTAAATGTAGTTTAGAAAAGAAAATAAGAATAAAAAAGTAAAAAGAAAAGAAAGACCAAACAAATAAGTTAGTTAAAAGGGGAGGTAGAGAAAGAACAAGTCGCAAGGCGAGCCAATATAATAAATCGTTTTTTTTTTTTTTTCTGTGTGTATATATGTATTTGTGTGTATATGTATGTGTGTATATATATGTATATATGTATATGTAGATGTGAGTATATTTATTGGTTTGTTTTCTTCTATTCCTCCAAAAAACACCCATTCTTGGCCGCAAGTAGGAAGATCACTACAACCATGCATACCTAATTTATAACTTCGAATAGCCCAAGTGAAGTCTTGATTGGTTGTTGTTCGCTGGGGCAACTTATATAATTCACGTCTTAAAGCTAGTGGCAAATTTTTGTTCTAGGTGCTGGCCGAATACTGATCATATTCGGTCGGGTCGTCCATCGAAGAAGTCTGTTGTTTATTTAGACCCGAAACTTCTAGTGACATGGGAGCAACAACACTGACGACGCATCTAGATTCAGCACTTAAAGGTGTATTTTAATAATAATATTTATAACAAATGACATAAAATACATACTAATTGCAAATTATATTAAATTACTATATTGCTTTAAAAAGAAGCAATGTTTACGTTTTTTACTTAAATTTAAATTCCGTTAATTTCTTCAACAACATCAGGAATGGTTGAGCGTTACATTTATTTTCTATTTCCATCTCTAGGTCTTTGTATTTGCTTAGTTTTACGAAAACATTCGTAGGCAGCTTTTTATCAAATGATATACTCATATCAATCAATGGTTAAAGTTCTGTTTTTAGTTTTTGGTAATAATATTTGAGCGCTTTGCTTGTATTGTTTGCTCTGTGTTGATAGAAATATCCCAGAGGACGATAACATCTATCTAAATTACAGATTTAGAATGACATTCACACCAGTTTGCAAATGTTTTTATCCCGTAATGATGACAGATTTTCCAATGCAGATATTGACCTAACCTGTCACGAGGGATTTTGTACGAACTGGGTGAGAGTTTTGGGCATCCTGAGATAAGGGGATCAGTAGTATCAATATATTGGGTACAGAACATACATGTTGGGTCCGTACTATTATGCAATATATTAGATTGGTACTCCGTACAATTATGCAAACTATTAACTTAGTAGTCCGCACTATTATGCAATACATTAGATAGGTAGTCTGTATTATCATGCAAGATATTAGCTTAATAGTCCGTAGTATTATGCAAAATATTAGCTTGATAGACCGTACTATTATGCAATATATTAGTTTGGTAGTTCGTAGTATTATGCAATAAATTAGATTGGTAGTCCGTACTATGGTGCTAGATATTGGCTTGATAGTCCGTACTATTATGAAAACTATGAGTGGTAGTCAGTACAATTATGCAATACATTAGATTAGTAGTCCGTAATATTATGCAAACTATTACATTGGTAGACCGTACTATTATGAAAGATATTGGCTTCATAGTCCGTACCGTTATCCATGATTTTAGCTTGGTAGTCCGAACTATTTCGCAATATATTAGATTTGTAGTCCGTACTATTATGCAATACATTAAATTGGTAGTCGGTACTATTATGCAATATATTAGCTCGATAGTCTGTACTATTATGCGAGATATTAGCTTGATATTTCGTACTATAATGAAAGCTAGCAGCTTGGTAGTCGGTACCATTATGCAATATTTTAGATTGGTAGTCCCTATTATTATGCAAGATATTAGCTTCATACCCGTAATATTGTGCAAGATATTAGCTGGGTAGTCCGTACTATTATGCAATATTTTAGATTAGTAGTCCGTATTATTATGTAAACTATTAGAATGATAATCCGCACTATTACGCAAGATATTAACATGGTAGTCCGCACTATTATGCAAGATTTCAGATAAATAGTCCGGACTATTATGCAATATATTAGGTTGGTAGTCCGCAATACTAAACAATATATTAGATGGGTAGTTCGTACTATTATGCAATATATTAGCTTAATAGTCCGTACTATTATGAAATATATTACATTGGTAGTCCGTACTACGATGCAAACTATTATTTTGGTAGTCCGTACTATTAGGAAAGATATTAGGTTGGTAGCCCGTACTATTATGCAAGCCATAAGTTTGGTAGTCCGTACTATGATGCAAGATATTGGTTTGATAGTCCGTATTATTATGTAAGCTATGAGCGTTTTAGTCCGTAGTATTATACAATATATGAGGTTAGTATTCTGTACTATTGTACAATATATTACATAGGTAGTCCGTATTATTATGCAACATATTGGCTTGGTAGTTCGTACTATTATACAATATATTAAATTGGTAGTTCATACTATTATGCAATACATTTGATTGTTTGCCTGTACAATTATGCCATATATTAGCTTGGTAGTCCGTACCATTATGCAATATATTAGATTGGTAGTTCGTAGTATTATGCAAGATATTAGATTGGTAGTCCGTACTTTGATGCAATATATCATCTTAATAGTCCGTAGTATTATGTAAGATATTAGCTTTATAATCCGTACTATTATGCAATATATTAGATTGATTGTCGGTACTATTATGCAAGCTATTATCTTGGAAGTTCGTACTATTATGCAATATATTACAATGGTAGTCCGTACTGTTATGAAAGATTTCAGCTTAATACTCCGGACTATTATGCAATATGTTAGATTGATAGTCCGTACTATTATGCAAGCTATTAACTTGATAGCTTGTACTATTATGCAATATATTAGATTGGTAGTCCGTACGACTATGCAATATAATTGATTGGAAATCCGCATTATTATGCAATGTAGTAGATTGGTAGTTTTTAATATTATACAACATATTAGATTCGTAGTCAGTACTATTATGCAAGCTATTAGGTTGGTTGTCCGTACTATTACGCAATATATTAGATTGGTAGTCTGTATTATTATCTAATATATTTGCTTAATAGTTCGTACTATTATGTAAGATATTATCTCTTATAGTCCGTATTATTATGCAAGAAATTGGCTTAGTAGTTCGTACTATTATGCAATATATTAGATTGGTAGTCCGTACTTTCATCCAATATGTTAGCTTAATAGTCAGTAATATGCAAGATATTAGCTTTATATTCTGTACTATTATGCAATATAGACTGGTATAAATTGGTATATATTATTTTATAGTCCGTACTATTATCATATTGGTATATATTATCTTTATAGTCCGTACTATTATGCAATCTAGATTGGTAGTCGGCACTATTATGAAATATATTAGATTGGTATTCCGTATTATTATGCAACATATTAACTCAATAGTTCGTACTATTTTTACAAGATATTAGGTTCATAGTCCGTACCATCATGCAATATATTAGACTGGTTCTCAGTATTATTTTGCAAGATATTAGCTTCATATCCGTAATATTGTGCAATACTCCGCACTATCATGCAAGATATTAGCTTTGTAGTCCGTATTATTATGCAATCTATTAGCTTGATGTAAGCAGGCTCTGGTCATGTGCAGCAAGAATGAAACCCTCACCTTCATCTTTAATTCACGATCTCTTTAGTTCCACTAATGGTTTGCAAATTGATAGACATCAATATTTTTTTTTCTTCCGATACGAAACTGGCTGTGTAGATTCTTTTGACTTCAGCTTTCTTCTTTTTACTTTGGGCCGAGCTTTTTCTCTTCTTGTTTCAGGTTTCTTTCTGATTTTCTGATGGTTGTATCTAATTCAGCGCCATTTTCAAGATTTAGCCTGCATCCTCTTTTGAACATTTAGGTTTTTTTTTTATACACAATAAAACTTTTTACTTTTTTAATGCTCCATTTCGATTTGCAAGAGCCAATCTTGTATAGCTGAAAGATATTTATAAAGTATAATTACAAATATGTCAGATAATTTCAATTGAATCCTGCCTCTACTCCTACTACTCCTTAACAGATGCAGGTGCTCAACAGCTGCTGCTTTAGAGTGGTGCTTTCTATTGAATGGGAGTTGTTTGCATACTTTTGTATTCATTTTCTATACTTTCTTTATGATTGTTATGGTCCAAGTTCATTGTATCACGGTGATGGTCCAAGTTCCTTGTAGCACGGTGATGGTCCAAATTCCTTGTACCACGGTGATGGTCCAAGGTTAGAATCAATGAAAGAATAACACGAACACAGGTATGGAATACAAAGATATATTACAACAGAAATATAATACAAAGAAGTAGTAGTATTAGTAATGACTACGAGTTTTGGTTAGAGTGAACTATTTGGCCTCGATAAGTATCACTATTCCAATTACAATATGCTCTCAATTATCTCTCCTTGTCTTACAATCTCCATACCTCTTCTTCTTCTTCTTCTTCTTCTTCTTATTATTATTATTATTATTTTGTTTCCTTCGTAATAAGTGAGCTTTCTTTATGAGTACAATTTTTTTGTATTTCTTTAAGGCATGAGTTTATAGAAATCCCTTCAATGTGTTATTAGGAACATTTTTCCAATCAATCCGTGTGCCCTGAATACAACCGGAATTATTGATGTCCTCGAGTGCCACATTTTTTAGTTTTCCACTTCAAGATCCTTTGATAGGAATTGAAGACGTTTAAAGATACATTACAATCGGAAGCTACTACCATGTAAAAAAGAAAGCACATTCTGTTATTGTGGTTTTTGATCACAATGTCTGACCGAGTAGGTATGATTGTTCTCTGTGTGTGAATTGTAAAGCCCCATAAATTTGTTACTTTGAGGAACACACACACACACACACACACACACACACACACACACACACACACACACACACACACACACACATATACATATATATATATATATATATATATATATATATCAATCCTAGCTAAAGGCAACCGGACGTCTAGCCACAATGATGAGCTGTGACACGGCGAAACAGTTTGCCTGCAGATGACAATATATATGCTCCTGAAAAATTTATTTCGGTTGAGCTCTCTGGGGGGAAGCGTGAGTTTGTAAACAGTGACTATTACGGCTAATAATGCAAGACTCTTCGGTAAAACGAATCGTGTTCTCTCAGTCACTCTGTGTTTATCTAAAAATAAATACGCTTAAATTCACCTTCATCCCTGCCGTGTGCCAACGGCTTAGTGGTAGAATCGCCAATTCAGTCTGGTTTCGATCCTAGCTAGAGGCAACCAGACGTCAAGCCACACTGATGAGCTGTGATACAGCAAAACAGTTTGTCTGTGGATGACAATATATATATATATATATATATATATATATATATATATATATAACATATATATATATATATATATATATATATAAACAGGGAATATATATATATATATATATATATATATATATATATATAAAAAAGAAGAGAAGACAGGTGCCGCAAACGTTTTTTGGTTGTAATGTGGATTTATTTAGAAAAAAAATTAAAGCTTAATATTTTTTCTAAATAAATTCATATTTTCCAAAAAACGTTTTGATAACCCTCTCTTCTTTTTTTTAATATACATTTTTCTCGTTGGAACCACTACATATTTCTTGTATATATATATATATATATATATATATATATATATATATATATATATATATATATATATAACAGGGTGTAACAGCAAAAATGTCCAAAAATCGTGTAACAGCATGGGATAATTGTCCATCCCACAAAATGTTTAAAATTAAAAAAAAATTTAAACTAAATGAGTTTTTTTCCAGGTTTTCAGATAAAAATTTAGCCATCTTGACACCATTTTTCCTAAGAATCACAGGAAAACACTTTGAGTTATTCAGCTAGAAATAGAATAGGTTAAAATCTTTTCTTTCAGCTCCACTATGTTTTTCCAAATGAGCAATGGTGAGAGGAAAAAGATGATTCAGGCCTTCGGTAATGGTACGAACATTCATACTTTGACTTCCATTTTCAAAGTCCATTCAGGAACCATCAAGAGAACGGGGAATAAGTTTAAAAGAGAAGGAAGAGTAGAGAGGAAAACTGGATCAGGAGGTCACAACAGCAAGAGGGATCATCATTTCAACTTAAATCTAAATACTTTCTTATTGTTCGAAGTAGAATCCAATAGTTGTATAAAAACATCGGAGAATTCCAGTAAGATATCTTTAATCATTTCTAAGATTCAACGGTTCAAAGCTTAAACTAAAAATTGGACAATTTTGCTGTTACACGATTTTGACACTTTTGCTCATACACCTAGTATATATATATATATATATATATATATATATATATATATATATATATATATAAATATAGATAACTAGACTCGTTTCGAAAAACCCTCGAATTTTTGATTTGCTAATCAAATCAATCTCGAGGGAAAAAAAGGTTTTAAAAAAACTTTCCCTGACGATCCGTTTAGGTGAAACCTAGGTAGGTTTATCTGGCTCACTCGGTGTATCTATCTATATATATATATATATATATCTTCATTAAATATGACAGGCAAGGTGCATTGATTAATTTTTTTTTATATAATTTATGAAATGATGTTATTTTTTTTTTCTTTCCGTAGATAAATTATACAAAAACTGTTCAAATATTATATTTTTCCGAGCGTTTTCGGCTATATATTTAGCAATTTTCAATATATATTGAAATAATATTTATGGGTGTCTGTACTGTTTACCTGCACATTAATTTAATGTTAATTATCGATCGCTTTATATTTAATAGCAGTTTTTTCTGGCGTGGTAAACTAGCCCGTGTGCAAATATTGTACGCTTTTCAAAAAGGGAATCTTGGGACTTATACTAAGTTAAAAGTTTATAACTATTAGGTTGGTGCAAAAATAATGACGTAATAATGTCGTTTTTTTTAACGTATTTTTAACGTCAAAAAACGACATTCTTACGTCATTATTTTTTTTACCAACCTAATATCACGACCATCCTTAATCTTTCCTCTGTCCCCCGCCCCCAACTTGGTAAACAGATTCTAACGAATTCTCTGATCATCTGTCCCGCCTTGTGTCTGTGATAAGAGTAATTACGTTTTTAAGTCTAAATCTTTTTTCTCTCTTTCAAATAGAGTAATTAACTTCTCACTGTACACCTAACGACTATGTTCATGATACTAAGCTAAATAAAGATAAGGAATTCACATGCAACACGAGAAACATACGTCATTCTTTTCTCTCAATGGGTCTATGACTGGTACGATGTTTCTGACACAAGAACGAGTTCTGTTACCCTGACCTCTAGGAGGAAGAGACATATACACTCGGAGTATCGCGCCTGAATCTTTCCTGGGTTATTTAGCCCCTCATTAAGGGAGTTGGAGGTAAATGTTTTTTTTTCATGTGTTTTTGCGTTATCCCTCTGATAGTTAGGAATTCCAACCTTCGAGTAACTTCGAAGGATACACTGAAGAATTATCTATCAAACAAAAAAAAAAAATCCATCGAAATCGGATGAAAACTATAAATTATAGATATAGATAATATTATTGTAATAATTTAAAGTATTTATTTTTATTAAAGTTTTCATGAAAGATATAAATCCAAGAACAGACAGTAAATAGTAAAACGTTTCTGAGAGTTAAAATGGACAGGAAGTAGTGGAGAGCCATTGTCGCCAAAAATTTGGACTCAAAACCGGCACTATCAAACAAAGAAAATTCATCGAAATCTGATGAAAACTGTGGAAATTCATAAACAACATCCGATCACACACACACACACACACACACACACACACACACACACACATATATATATATGTAAGCAAATATATGGATATAGATCCGACAGTATGAAGAAAAATATACGGAAAGAACAAACAAAAATCCTAATATGCAATTATGCTATTTTAATGTTAATATAATGTCAACGTCGGACGTTTCGGTCTAGTAGACTATCTTCAGGACATATTCATAAAACATAATTAACATTAGACTATATTCAATTCAACATGAAAAGACGATGGACATAAGAGTAAGACTAATCAAAACAGACAACTGAAATTTTTCAAGGTCAGCGTTCCGTTTCAATATGATCACGTCGGTGTCACGTGGGCGATGTTGTGAAAACGTATTCCTAAAACAGATTATATTTTGAATGAAAAATGAAAAGAATTTTATTTTAATCTAAAACTTAAATGGACAAAAAAAAAAAAAAAAAAAAAAAAAGGAAGTTCAGTTATTAAGGGAAATAACTGAAACAAAAATTGAGATATCCGGAAAACGAACAATCTACCCCGGTTGACAAAATAAAAGGTTCTGTTCGAAATTCCATTGACCTGAACGGAGCGTACAACGGCCAAAACACCAAGAATATGAGAATCAAGACGAGGACAACAGTCCGAACAAGGTAAATAGTTACAATACCTCATCTAAGAAATATAGACATATTTAGAGGCTTATCTATCTATCTATCTATCTATCTATCTATCTATATTGTAGAGACTGCTTATCTATCTATCTATCTATCTATCTATCTATCTATCTATCTATCTATTATATTGTAAGAGCTTGTTTATCTATTATAGTCGAGAGACTTGTTTATCAATTTCCCTTTTATACTCTATCTCTATCTATCACAATCTAGAGACATTCATATATCTATCTATCATAGTCCAGACATTTCTTTATCTATCTATTATAGTTGAGAGGCTTGTTTATCTATTATAGTCTAGAAACATTTTTATCTATCTATTTATCTATCTATCTAGCATCGCTTCGAGATATGTTTATCTATAACAATCAAGAGGCCTATTTATTTTAGTCAAGAGACTTGTTTATCTATATCTAAAAGAATCTATCTATCTATTATAGTTGAGAGGCGCGTTTGTTCATCTATCTATCTATCTATCTATCTATCTATCTATCTATCTATCTATCTATGGCCGGCGCAAGGGTTTCGGCCCCCAACTATACTTTGATACGCACTCCCTCCTCTCTTGTACATGTAGATTCAAAATTTCCCAACCTGGGGGCCCACAAACCTTCGAAGGAAAATGGGCGGGAGGAATGGCAGCTATTTTTTTAAATTACGAAAAATCAGAGAATTATCCAATTTAAATGAAAATTTCAGTACATATTCATTAATTACTTTTATAATGAATAGGCTGTTTTATTTTTTTAAAATTATTATTCTTTTTGTAATAACCACCAATATTTTCTTGACTAAATTTTACTCGAAAAAAAAAATGTTTAAGTCGCAAGTTTTTACATTTCCATAAACATTAATCGACGACGCATCTACGCTAAAAAAGAAGCTTTACAAAGATTCCAACACAACACAAACGGGATTGCCTTAAAATTTGTTTTAAAAACAGTATTTCAGTTTTCGGGAAAAAATTTTATGTGTAATAATCTTTAAACATTTATATGTTTTAAGTGCTCATTTTCTCAGTTTTATCTTTCTAGAAATGTAAACAAATAGGGACTATAAATTTTATTTTAATTAGTAACCAGGGACTTCTGGTTAGTATTACTACTAGTTAAAAATTATTTTCAAAGATTCTCCTTAGCGGATGATCCTGAAATATAAAATAATTTTACTGATATATATATATATATATATATATATATATATATATATATATATATATATATATATATATTAGTGGAAAATATACATACATATGCAAAATATATAAATACCCATACATGTATATTTTAGAAAAAAAAAATTCAAGAGGAAGAATCCAGGTAGAACTCAATGTCTAGGACAGAGTAAGGATATAATAAAAAATTAAACACTAATATTCCATGGTCATAATTTATTCCATTGGAATCGTAAATTATGACCATGGAATATTAGTGTTTAAATTTTAATATATATATATATATATATATATATATATATATATATAAGAGGTAAATATATATATATATATATATATATATATATATATATATATATATATATATATATATATATATATATTAACCTCTAATCGATTTAAAAGAACTGTTCAGAAAGAAAATAACATTTTTTAAAAAAAAAGCTCTACAGAAATTAGCAATTCTCCCCAGTAGACATGGGGGCCCCCACGCGATTGAGAGGTTTGGAGAAGTAAACACCGGCCATCTCGATTATTATAGTTGAGTTGATGATTGACAATATAACTAAGGAGGGAAAAGAAAAAAAAACAAAAACAAAAAAACGCTGTAATTTTGGGGCTCCAATCTTGTCGGGGGATCCTGAGGTACACGATGTATATTATTAGTTGATGACTGAAAATGTAACGTCAGTTTAAAAAAAAAATGTAAGATGGCCATTAAACAGTACCGAAAAAAAAAGGCAGGGGCCAGAGCGGGGCATTAAAAATCGCGACCCCCGGTCGGGGGTTTCGGGGATAAGAGGCGCCAGCCATATATCTATCTATTATAGTGTAGAAACTGCCTATCTATCTATCTATCTATCTATCTATCTATCTATCTATCTATCTATCTATTATAGTCTATAGCAGGGATCGGCAGCAATTTTAAGTGATCGGGCCAGACAGCTATGCAGTATTTCTTCGCATCTCTGAAATAAGTTCGTTATGTCAATGATAACCGAATTTTTTCATTCAACACGAGTTATGTTAATGTTCGTCGAAAAGAAGCAGAAATGGCAAAACTGTAAGGCGGGTGACGGAAGCCATTTGTAAATAGCCGACCAGAAATCTATGCAGTGTTTCGGACGAGAGACATGATGTCAAATACACTATAATACATATTCTCTGCCTCAGACCTCTTCGTCCAGAACCCCGCCCCACTGGTATGGAGGTTTAAAGAAGAAAAAAACAATGAAGTAAATGTTATATTAATTAATTAAACAAGGTTTCTTATTTTACCGCAGGAATTTACACGATGACAACTAACAGCATCACCAAAAAATGAAAATTCCTTACTACTTAAGTTGACGTACCGGAGAAAAATCCTTCGCGGGCCGGGTATGACCCGGGGACCGTGGGGTTGCCGACTATTGATCTAGAGGATTATCTATCTTAGTCGAGAAGATTATCTATCTATCTATCTATCTATCTATCTATCTATCTATCTATCTATCTATTATAGACTAGAGACGTCTTCATCTATCTATCTATCTATTATAGACTAGAGACGTCTTCATCTATCTATCTATCTATCTATCTATCTATCTATCTATTATAGATTAGAGACGTCTTCATCTATCTATCTATCTATCTATCTATCTATAGACTAGAGACGTCTTCATCTATGTATCTATCTATCTATCTATCTATCTATCTATCTATCTATCTATCTATCTATCTGTTATTATAGACTAGAGACGTCTTCATCTATCTATCTATCTATCTATCTATTTATCTATAGACTAGAGACGTCTTCATCTATCTATCTATCTATCTATCTATCTATCTATCTATCTATCTATCTATTTCAGAAGAGAAGCACGTTTCTATATCTACCTATCTATTATAGTGTAGAAATATGTTTTAATCTATCAATTATATATTCTGGAACAGGTCTGATCTGAAGTTCGCACGAGGTGTGAAACCGAGAATTACATTGCAATGATGAATGAAAAAGAGGGAAATAGGCAATACCTGGTTTAAGTGAGAGAATGAAGAAAAAAAAGAAAGGAAGATAATGTTTAATGTCTCCAAGCATTACCGCATAGATAATGGACTATTCCGTTTTTATTTTGTGGAAAATACATGAATGAATGAAAGGAGGAAAGATAGAAAGGAAGATAGAATTGTTCAATGTCTCCTGGCAATACCTCATAAATAATGGACTATTTTCTTTTGATTGCGTGGAAAAACAAAAGACATATCAGAAATGCTACTCGCTTCTAATGATAAAATGCATGAATGAATGAATGAAAGAAGGAAAGGAAGAAGTGAAATTACGTCTGTTTCAGTGAAAATAAAAAAGCTGTCAATTTCAAAATTTTATGTTTATACCGCCTTTTTGAAAGAGCGACCATCATACATATTTATGATTGTTATTGCAATATTTTGTTAAAGTTTATTTGATCAAATATTTAACGATGCGACAGGGGAATTTTTACGCATATTTTAGCTTTGTGGAACTTACTATGGACCTATTTATTCATTAACTTAAGACTTCAGATTCACCAGGAAATTAAATTACGAAAAACGGGAAATTTTTCAAGCGTCTTTCTAGTAAAATATTCGTCATGACTTGTGTTTTTGAACTAAACATTTTTTCCCTCGAAAATTACAAAAAAAAAAAAACAAAAAAAAAAAAATACTTAGCTTGAAATAAAAACAGTTCAACCTCTGATTAATAGAATTACTAAATCCAGTCGAGGAATGATGGAGCGTCGTAAAAGCTACTTATGAAACGTCGGATAACCGAAACATTTGAAACAAATTCCTTCACCACTAGCGGGAGGTACTCGCTACGGATTACACCGCCTCAAAGATGCAGTCAATGAAGCGATGTCTTTAATTATACGACTGAATGAAAACGTACAATCATTTATAGAAACATTTTGCCCTAACCCTGGCGCAACAACTTCTCCAAATAGTGGATAATGTAGTAGAATTGGTTCATCCCGAATTATCCATCTGTGATTAGATTCTTCGTTCGTTCCTTGGTTTGTAAACTATTACTGTATCTTTTCGTGATAATAAAATATTAATTTGAAATTCAACATTTGTCAATTTGACATCCAGAATCTTTAATTTGAAGTTGAGAATTTTTAATTTTAATTTTTTTTTTCTTAATTTGAAATTTAACTTTATTAGTCTGAAGTTTAACCTTTTTTCAGCTAAAGTTTAATCTTTTATTTTATATTAATTGATTCCTTTCCTACGGCTTACCAACCCTTAGCAGGCTAATTAAAGCCAGGAAATAAGTTTTAGATTGTAAAAATGTTTTGGAGATAATAATGATTCAGTAATAAAAGTCTTACTAATTAATCCATAGCTGGGGAGAAGTTAGATTCATACCTTTCGAAAGGGTATTTGTGCGCAAGGAACCCAAATTGGAACTCGGCTCTCTGATTAACAATTCCGAGCCTTTATCCATTGCGCCACCCGCACATCCAAGCTTACAATACCTGGTATTCTCAAGCGGTCACCTGTCTTAGTACTGATCTGGTTCGACGTTGCTTAACTTCAGTGATCGTACGGGAACCGGTGTTGCAACGTGATGAAATTGTCAGCCGATAACGTTTTTAATTTATGTGTTGAAGTAGTTCTAATCTGTATGGTAGGGTATCGAGTTTTTCGATAGAGGTTTAGTTTTAATGAATTGCTATGGTTGCTACTTTACATATTGTTGTGGATTCCGAGGTGAAATTCGGTCTCCAATGAATGACAAACGCAGGAATGAAATATAACAAATAAATGTATTTACACAATAATACAATTGGTAATACGGTTAGAAGATCCAGAAACACGGTTAGTAGCAATAATATATATATATATATATATATATATATATATATACACACACACACACACATATATATATATATATATATATATATATATATATATATATATATATATATATATATATATATATATATATATACAGTCTGGTAAATTCAGTCTCAAGTAGGACTTCCTTAGAGTCTACGTGCTTGTAACTGTGACTTCTACAAGCGGTTACCTCACACTATTACTCTACCTCCAACTCAATCACAATCTCTTTCTCTGACTGACTCTGGGTATTTAACGGCAGCAGTCCAAGTACATACTGGTCGATTCCACTTGTATGAAAAAGGGGTGGACCCCATAACATATATATACGCTTATACTTAACTTTTAATTAATTAAAACTCACCATTTTTTAAAAAAAGCTTTTTTTTTCTTCAAATTTCATGTTGTTTATTTCTCATTCTTCTTCAATTTCAGTATCCAAATTTTTTTTTATTTTTTATTTTTTTTCCAGTATCCAATGTCTCAACTGGCTGGTTGGCGTGATTTATCGACGCAGATGGACAGGTCTAGTTTTTATTTTTCTGTTGTTATTTATAACCTACATTGTGTGGCTCTATGTAGAAAATTACGTTTACATCAGATTTCAAGATCCGCCATGCAAGAGATTGCCTTCACTTCCTACCGTTAAAGAGAGGCTTGTCTTTCCGCAGCTGGCTAATTTTAATCCAAAGGCAATAAGCAAGGAGTTTGGAAAATCAAGAGGCCTTCAACAGTTCACAAAAAACATCTCTATAAAATTTCGCACTTCGCTGACACAGGAGGAAAAAATGATGTTTCTTTTTATCTTTCAGAAATTTATAAACCTGTGTGAAATTCACAATATCGAATTTTTCATCAACGCAGGGACGTTGTTAGGTAAGGAGATTGAATTTGGTTATTTTTTTTAAAGAATATTTTACGAGATATGAATGGCTAATATGCAGTGTAGGGCCCATGCTCAGATTATATAAAAAATATCCCAAATTGTTACATTTACGTGTAAATGTACATGTTTAATTAAAAAAATAACGACGAAAATTTGTTAAAATTTACCGTTTTGGACTTACCGACACTAAAAGTTCGGACTCATTCGCGTCGTTGGCATCTACGGCACGGAAACCATTACTGGCATTGTTTGCATACATTCGCTGCTGAACAGACACGTGCGGAAGATTACCAAGTTAACGGCCTTTTTACTGATATTACTTGTCTCAATTACTGCGCAACTGAGGACTCGTTGCGTGCGTAATAATCAAGGCAAGTGAAAGTCTATCCCGCAGCAAATGTATGCAAACAACACCAGTAATGCCTGCTGCGACGCAAATGTGTCCGAATTTTTACTGTCGATAAGTGCAAAACGGTAAATTTTATCAAATTATCGTCGTTATTTTTTAAAAAAAGCATATATATTTATACGTAAATGTAACAATTTGGGAAATTTTTAAGAAGAAACTGAACGCGATTCCTGAACAATTAGCCATATTGATGCGCATTGTAATTACTTCCACTCCAAATAATGAAATTTACCATTTCTTAAATCAATAACGGTTTTAATTAGCGGCAAAATGTTCAGTCGGCAGTCTAGTGTCCTTTCGGTTTGAGATCTTCATTAATTAAAGAAATTCGATCACAGTAGGTTTTTCCCTTTAGGCAGTTTCTCGAGGTGGGAATGGACTAGGGTATCTCCAAAATGTGGAATATCGAGATAGCTGAACATTTTTCATATTTTTTTTTTAATTTCTGGTCCCATGTACAAAAGTCGACTAATAGGTTAACCAAGATACTTTCATGTAATGTGAGCAAATGTGGTTTATTTTGAAACATATGTGTTTACATACAAACCGGTTTACTTCAAAGAAATTCAAAAGAAGCTTATTAATAAAAAGAGTTCAAATTAATGCATGCGACATTTTACGGTTGTAGCATTACCCCACTTAGTCAGTCTATGCATGTCTACGGTCATCCTGTATAAGTAGAACTCGCTCATGTGTAATATTCAATTCGGGTCGGCGCGCTGATGCATATCGATGTTCATTTGGTTAAAAAGTAGAATAACACTTTCAAAGCTGTTTCTGAAGTATTGAACATGATCAATGGTCTGGACGTCATGCAACTGCCACCAGCCGAGGGAGTGGATGCTAAAAGCTGTGATTGCCTCTTCCATGAATTAATTTCAACTCTTCTTATTAATAGCTACCTTGTTTTTTTTTTCTAGGTAAACTGACATCTCTCTCTGTTCAAAAAAGACTTCAAATGTAACTAGTAGTGACTTCTCTTGAAAATGGACGAAATTTGGCATCGTGGTTTTATCAAGTACCGACAGAAAATGGTTTAAGCCCCAAGAACCTTCATGCTGATATGGATGCTACATTAGTGGATGATGCCCCAGCTTTATCAAAGTTGAAAAATTGTGCAGCTGAATTTAGGAAGGGAAGGGGAGTCTTGAACATGACCCATGGTCTTGACGTCCTGCAACTGCCATCACCGAGGAAAATGATTATGTTCACTTGATGATGGAAGACAGGCGATTGGCTATAAATCAAATATTCAATGCTATTAGCATATCCCGTGAGAAAGTTGAGAATATTTTGCACAAGGAACTTGCCATGACCAAGGTTTCTGCTTTGGTACTTGTCACTTCTTCCGACACCTGAATAAAAACGGTCAAGGCTGATCACATCACCGGAAAATCTGACATTGTTTGAGGCAGATCCAGCTGGTTTCCATGAACGTTTCCAAAACTACGATGAATATTGGATTCATCAAATTGAACCAGAAACAAATAGACAATTCATGCCGTCAAAACACTCTCCTACCTGGATCAAAGAAGGTCAAAGTGGCTTTATCTGAAGGGAAGTTGATTGCCTCAGTATTGAAAGCATTGTTTTTATTAAAAATCTCCAAAAGTTTCAAACCATCAATGGAGAGTGTTACAGCAATTTGCTGAGACAGTTACAAAAGAATATCAATAAAAAACACCCATGAAAGCTGATGAAAGGGGTTTTGCTTCATCAGGACAATTCTCCAGCACATGTCATTGGCTTTAATAGCAACTATGTGTGACTGTCGCTTTGAACTGATTTGACCATCATCTGTTCTGCAACATGAAATAGAATTGGCTGGGAAACAGAATCGCAGTGATGATGACTTCATATCTGCTGTTGATGGCTTTTTCGAAACAAACAATATGACTTCTTCTTTAAACAGTCACGTATCAATGTATCTGGAAAGAAATGATGCAGTAATTAAAAGGAAGATTGAAATTAATGCATGCAAAATTTCACAGCTCTAGCATCACACATGCATAGTCAGACAATGAAATTTTCAGGCAAAGAAAGAGTGGGGTTATTAATAAGAAGAGTTGAAATTAATGCATAGATTCAGCACCAAAACGTCATAGTCAGCCTATGAAATTTTCCGCCAACCTTCATATCTGGAAAGAAAGAATGCATTTATTAATCAGAAAAGTTTTAATTAATATATAAAAGATGCAATCACAGCTTTAGCATCACCCCTGTATAGAAAGCCTATGAAAGTATAAGCCAAACTTCATATCTGGAAAGAAAGAATGCCGTTATTAATAAGAAAAATTGTAATTAATATATACAAGATGCAATGACAGCTTTAGCAACACTGCTATATAGTAAGCCTATGAAAGATTCAGCCCACCTTCATATCTGGAAAGAAACAATGCAGTTATTAATAAGAAAAGTTGTAAATAATATATACAAAATGCAATGACAGATTTAGCATAACTCCTTCATAGTCAGCCTATGAAAGTTTAAGCCCACCTTCATATCTGGAAAGAAAGAATGCCGTTATTAATAAGAAAATTTGTAATTAATATATACAAGATGCAATGACAGCTTTAGCATCACTCCTGTATAATAAGCCTATGAAACTTGAAGCCCACCTTCATATCTGGAAAGAATGAATGCCATTATTAATAAGAATAGTTGTAATTAATATGTACAAGATGCAATGGCATATTTTGGATAATTCCTTCATAGTCAGCCTAAGAAAGTTTCAGCCCACCGTCATATCTGGAAAGAAAGAATGCAGTTATTAGTACGAAAATTTATAATTAATATGTACAAGATGCAATGACAGCTTTAGCATAACTCCTTCATAGTCAGCCTATGAAAGTTTCAGCCCATCGTCATATCTGGAAAGAAAGAATGCAGTTATTAATAAAAAAAATTGCAATTAATATATACAAGAATCAATGATAGCTTTAGCATCACTCCTGTATAGTAAGGCTATGAAAGTTTCAGCCCACCTTCATATCTGGAAAGAAAGAATGCAGTTATTAATAAGAAGCGTTGAATTTAATGCATGCAAGATTCAATCACAGCTTTAGCATCACTCCTTCATAGTCAGCTTATGAACACTTTTGCCTTCGCTCGTAATAAGAGCTGAGGATTTTTCTTTGACAAAGTAAATAGAGAAGCTTATTCACAACCTAACTTCTCGACAATCAGGGTGCTCATAGGTGTATAAGTATATGAAGTATTGTGTTTCCATGTTCGAAATATATATTCACAAACCCCATCCTGATACCATAGATATTCAAGATCAGGTTCACGATTCCCGTAACCTCTGAATGTGGTATGTATACGACATCCATGACAGCCCTAGAGACTGTGGTATATCTTGGATATGATAGCCCCAGGAAGCCGAATCTCTTCCAAACTCGATATATGCTGTTTCTTCATATACATACCTACCTATGATATGTTTGACTTTATAAATATTATGAAATAACTACCGTATTTTCTCTAAAATAATACACATTTTTTACTGTAAATTACAGCTGATAGCAGGGATGCGTATTATAAATAGGTTTAAACAAAAATATTTTTTTCGTTATTGATTTATAATAATAAATACGTACCTGTTCTAAGATAAGAAATATATTATCTCAATTTTCCTTTTAAATCCAGCAATAATAATTGTAACATTTTTTGTCAATAAATTTATGTTTATCAGTAACCGCATCTTTTATTTGGCGAAAAAATAAAAAGATCTATAATAGGCCAATTTCTAATAGCATATCAAATTAACAATTCATCGAAATTTTAATCATCATCATCATCATCATCATCATCACTTTCTATTATAGAATCAATATCTAAATTTTCTTCATTAAACAAATTATCATTCACAATATTATCTTCGTCCTGTTCAAAATTATCTTCGGCCTCTTTATTCTCTTGCCAAAGGATATCATCTTCAGAGCCATTCCATGGGTGTCGTGAGACAATACTTCTTGAAAACTCTCTTTATAACATTCTCACTGACGGAATTCCAAAATTCCTGAATCCATTTTACAATGGGTTCCAACTCTAGTTTTTTCCTGTTGCCACCAGCAGTAAAACTGGGAACACCAGAAAACATCCATTCATTCCATGTTTTACGCATCTCTTGTTTAAATGGACGGTTGCAGACAACATCTATTACTTGAAGTTGGTCAGTTATTCCCCCTGGCATAATAACAAGATCAGTCCTCTTCTCCTGAAGTATATTCTTCATGCAAAGCATCCTATGGCAATTAAATACATCAAGAAACAGCATATGCCTATTTCTTGCAAATTCTGTTTTGTGTTTACATCAAATATTCAGCAGCCACTCCTTTGTGAGATTCTCATCCATCCACCCTTTTTCATGACATTTTACTGTCATACCGGCTGGGCACTCAACGTTTTTTGGCAGTTTTCTGTTTAAAAATTATGTAAGGGGGCATCTTTTTACCATCGCCCTATGCACCAAGCATGACTGTGGACCTATTCTTCTCATTTCCAGTTGTTTTTACTGGAACAGACTTCACCCGTTTGAATTCCAGAGTTTGAACACAAGGCACATCAAAAGTCAAGGGT